ACTGAACAAGAAGTGGCCGTGCTTCTCCTTTCCTCTTGTCCCACCACTTGCCCACTTGATCCTGTCACATCTCACCTTATCTGATCTCTCTCCCTTTGTCTTGTGCCTTCCTTAACACTCATCTTCAACTGCTCTCTCTCTCTTCTGGCATTGTCCCTGGTTCCCCTTAAACATGCTGCAACCTTAAAAAAAATATCTCTTGACCCATCCTCCCTTTCTAACTATCGTCCCACATCCCTGCTCCCTTTTTCCTCAAAGATTTTGGAAAGACTTGTCTTTACTCGTCTGGCTTACGTCCTCAATTCCAACTCTTTCCTTGACCCTCTTCAGTCTGGCTTCTGCCCCTTCCACTCTACTGAGACTGCTTTTATTAAATTACTAATGACCTAATCACAGCTAAATCCAAAGGCCACTACTCCATATTAATTCTTCTTGAACCTCTATGCTGCCTTTGATACTGTTGACCATGTTCTCCTCCTCCAAACTCTTCACTCATCTGGTCTCTGTAACACTGTCCTCTCATGGTTTTCCTCTTATCTCTCCCAACGGTCATTTAGTGTCTCCTTTTCTAATGATACCAAATGATTCCTTTCGTCGTGTTTGGGTTGGAGTCCCCTAAGGAGGTCCCCTTCTTTTTTCTCTTTATACTGCCTCTCTTGGCAACCATCTGCACACCGATGACACTCAAATATATTTCTCCTCAATGAACCTCTCCTTTGCCATCCTGCAACGTGTTACTGCTTGCCTTTCTTCTATTTCTGATTGGATGTCCTCCCGCTTTCTGAAAATCAATCTCTCTAAAACTGAGTTTCTTGTCATTCCTTCTCCTTATCCTAATCCCTTTTGTTTCACTCTTCCTTTAAGTTAGTGGCAACCACATCAGCTCATCCTTGCAAGCCTGCTATCTTGGTGTTATATTTAATTCTGGCCTAACCTTTGAGCCTCACATCCAGACTGATACCAAATCCTGTCAATTCCACTTTAAAAACATTGAACGCAAGATGCTACTAAGAAGCTTGTTCATGCTCTAGTAATCTCTCCCATAGATTATTGTAACCCTCTCCTAAATGATCTTCACATAAGTTGTACTGCTCCGCTACAGTCTGTAATGAATGCTACAGCCAGACTGATTTTACTCTCCTGTCGCTTCTCTCACAACTCAGTCCTTACATTGGCTTCTTGTATCATATAGGAGTCAAATTAAAGTACCAATCCATACCTATAAAGCACTGAATAATTCTAGTCCCTCTTATATCTATTCACTGATCTATAGGTATGCCCCTTCTCTGTCTCTCCGCTTTGCCCATGACCTTCTCCTGTCCGCTACTCGCACCCGTACAGCCAACTCACGCTTGCAGGACATTTCTTGGGTGGCTCCTTTCCTTTAGAATAGCCTGTCTAACACTATCAGACTCTCACTTACGTACTCAATAATAATTGTAAAACACAATTTATTAATAAACAAATAAAAATACCATCTTTTAAAAATAGTTATTTTAAGAAAAAAACCATGCACAAAAGGAAAGAAAGTCCAGACCTTATTTGATAATCTCGGCGTCCCGAGTCAACCAAAAAGCATGCTGAAAAATATCATTTTAAAAGTCCTCTTTGATGTATAAGTGCTGGCTTGTATCGATGGGAGTCAGACCCCTCCAAACGCGTTTCTCCGCTTCGGCGGCTTTCTCAATGGATGCGGTCTGCTTCGTTGTATCCGTTTATATAGCAGTAGCCGGCTTGTGTTTCCCGGCAAAAAAATAGATGCTTACAGAAATGTGCTAACAATGTAAGCCTAATTAGCTACATAAGAGCACAAATGAAAAACATAGTATATTGTAATTCTTGTTACTATAGTAACACCCGCCTAAGCAGGTTCAAATATAACTGCCGTTTTCATTTGGCACAACTAAGTACAAGAGAATAGTATATTATAATTCTTTTAATAGCAACCCTCGCCTAAGCAAGTTCAAATATAACTGCCGTTTGCATTTAGCACGACTAAGCACAAGAGGATAGTAAAATTAATTAAAAAAATTTAAAAAAAAAATTTAAAAAAATTTTACTTAAGCAAAATTTATTATATAAAATAGGATAAATTGTATCTATTAATTCTCATATAGATAATTACTATATTGAAACTAGGATCAATATTTTGACCTTGAAAATTTGTTCTTGAGGCAGTCTTGATGTTTTAAACCTTAATACTTGTACTGCCTCTATAGATTATATATCGTAAAAATTATATTTACTCTATAAAGAGCTAAGACTATTATTCTTAAAGGACCCAAAAAAAAAAAAAAAAAGGGGGGGAGGAGTGAGAGAAGAGGCAATTTATCCCAAGAAATGACAGAGCTCAAACTCAGCATTTAATCCCTTAGGCTGCAACGTATCTAAATTGTAAATCCATTTCATCTCAGTAATGCCCAATTGTTTATTATGGTCTCCGCCTCTCCAATTTTTATTTACTTTGCATATCCCCTTAAAATTCAAAAGACTCATATCCGAATTGTGATACTGCTTAAAATGGGCTGAGACTGAGTGTTGCATATAACCCTTTTTTATATTCAACATGTGTTCTCTTATTCTCACATACAACTGCCTCTTTGTTCTTCCTACGTACTGGAGCCCACATGGGCACTCCAGTACATATATTACGTTACTACTGTGGCAGGTGATATTTTCCTTTATTTTAAAGGATTCTCTCCCTTTCTTGCAGTTGTTGTTAATAACTTCAAATACTCCTTTTGTTTGTTTGCATTTACTTTCTTTGCATGCAATACAGTCTAGGCAATAAAAGAAACCATTCTTCTTTGTTATAATTGGGACATTCCTTCCTTTTAGATGTTTATTTGTTATTTTTCTTCTTAGGTTCGGTGCGCCCCTAAAAATTATTCTGGGTCTTGCTGGTAAAATGTCGGCCAGTATTTTATCTTTTTTCAATAAATGCCAATGTTTAGTAAGTATTCTTTTTAGTTGTTTATTTTCTTTGTTGTAATTCAAGATAATTGCTGGAAAATCTTCTCCTATTCTTTTTATTTGTGATTTATCTCTATTTTTCATGAGATTGATACGATCTAGCTTCTCTACTCTACATAGTGCCTCCTCTATTTCTTTCTGTTGGTAATTTTTCGACAGGAATTTGTTTTTTACTGTTTCCGCTTGTTCCCTATAAACTTCAGAGTCTGTGCAATTGCGTTTCAGACGTCTAAATTCATTATAGGGTACGTTCTTTAACCACGTGGGTAAATGACAGCTCTCTTTAAGAATAAAACTGTTCACATCAACTTCTTTGAAGTGCGTTTTCGTTTTTACTTTCCCAGACTCTATATAGATGGTGAGGTCAAGAAATTCTACCTGTGTTTTACTACAAGTAGTATTCAATTGCACTCCCCAGGTGTTCTTATTTGCATATTCCAGAAACTTCTGTAAATCATTCATCTCACCTTCCCATATAAAGAAAACATCATCGATGTATCTTTTATATCTGTGGATGTTCTTATTCCAAGGATGTTCATTCCAAATGTGATTATCCTCCCAATCCCCCATGAACAAGTTGGCAAAACTAGGGGCAAATTTCGTCCCCATGGCTGTTCCCTTCTTCTGGAGATAAAACTGATCTTCAAATAGAAAATAATTGTTCTTTAGAATAAAAGCAATTCCTTCTATTATAAATGCAGTTTGTATATCTTCCAGTTCCCCATATTTATTTAATGAGTTTCTCACGGAATCACAGCCTTGTTGGTGATCAATAATCGTATATAGGGAGGTCACATCTGTAGATACTAGAATATAATTGTCTTGCCAGGAAAGGGAGTCCAGTTCTTTAATCATCTGTGTCGTATCCTTAAGATGGGACTTAACCCTGGACACATATGGTTGTAAAAATGCATCGATATATTGTGACAAATTTGATGTGATGGAATTTATCCCCGATATTATTGGTCGACCGGGGGGTGCTGTCAAGTTCTTATGAATTTTCGGTAAGAAATAAAAGGTAGGGGTTCTTGGAAAGGGAATAGCAAGAAATCTATATTCGGACTCCTTTAGGATTCCTATGTCTTTAGCTTTACCCAGCATAGTTTCAAGTTCAATCTTTATTGTGTTCAATGGATCAATTGATAATTTCTTGTATGTTTCAGGTTCTCCCAGTAGTCTGGATGCTTCTTTTAAATAATATTCACTCGACATAATAACTATTCCTCCACCTTTATCCGCTGGTTTGATGCAAATCTTTTTATTATTACTTAGATCCTTAATTGCTTCTCTTTCTTTACTTGTTAAGTTATTCCTTGAATGATTGTTCTTTTTCATCTTCCTTATATCATCAGTTACTAATTCCTCATATATTTCCATCCCAGCAGATACTTGATTCAAAGGATAAAATTTGGAAGTTGGTCTCAATTGACTATGTTGGAACCTACTTAGAGGCTCTTCTTTTACTGGAAAATCTGGTATCTGATGAAAATGTTTTTTGATGCTTAATTTTCTTATAAACCTTTTAACATCGATGGTTGCTTCAAATTTATCCAAATGTGCTGTCGGTGCAAATTTTAATCCTTTATTGAGTGCTGTAATGTGGTGGGGTGATAGTTGTATGCCAGCAAGATTAAATATTCCTACTGGGTGCTCTTCTTGGTCTTTTTCTTGCTTATCCCTTGTTCTTCTTCCTCCTCTATTTCTTCTAGGTTTAACTCTTTTCTTTTGGACCTTCTTGGTGTCATCGGATGAAACCATGTGGTTATTTCTCTGGTGTTCCTTCCTAAAAAAACCGCCTCTCTTGTGGTATTATGTACCTCAGCTTGGACCGTTACTGTGTTACCTCCTGTAGGGGTCTCCACATATTCTTCCTCCGATCTTCTTTCAGATGTCTTGTCAATTTCCCTATCTTTATTTCTACTGTGCATTTCATTCCTCCTATTAAAGTTGGTATTGAGTGGCATTTTGTGTTTCCGCTCATCTTGACCTCTTGAAATTCTTAAACCTTCACGTTCTGTATTTTGCTTATGCTTTGTCTCTGCTCTTCTTTGGACTAATGGTATATCTTTCCTCCTCAGCAAATGAGGAGGAAAGATATACCATTAGTCCAAAGAAGAGCAGAGACAAAGCATAAGCAAGATGAGCGGAAACACAAAATGCCACTCAATACCAACTTTAATAGGAGGAATGAAATGCACAGTAGAAATAAAGATAGGGAAATTGACAAGACATCTGAAAGAAGATCGGAGGAAGAATATGTGGAGACCCCTACAGGAGGTAACACAGTAACGGTCCAAGCTGAGGTACATAATACCACAAGAGAGGCGGTTTTTTTAGGAAGGAACACCAGAGAAATAACCACATGGTTTCATCCGATGACACCAAGAAGGTCCAAAAGAAAAGAGTTAAACCTAGAAGAAATAGAGGAGGAAGAAGAACAAGGGATAAGCAAGAAAAAGACCAAGAAGAGCACCCAGTAGGAATATTTAATCTTGCTGGCATACAACTATCACCCCACCACATTACAGCACTCAATAAAGGATTAAAATTTGCACCGACAGCACATTTGGATAAATTTGAAGCAACCATCGATGTTAAAAGGTTTATAAGAAAATTAAGCATCAAAAAACATTTTCATCAGATACCAGATTTTCCAGTAAAAGAAGAGCCTCTAAGTAGGTTCCAACATAGTCAATTGAGACCAACTTCCAAATTTTATCCTTTGAATCAAGTATCTGCTGGGATGGAAATATATGAGGAATTAGTAACTGATGATATAAGGAAGATGAAAAAGAACAATCATTCAAGGAATAACTTAACAAGTAAAGAAAGAGAAGCAATTAAGGATCTAAGTAATAATAAAAAGATTTGCATCAAACCAGCGGATAAAGGTGGAGGAATAGTTATTATGTCGAGTGAATATTATTTAAAAGAAGCATCCAGACTACTGGGAGAACCTGAAACATACAAGAAATTATCAATTGATCCATTGAACACAATAAAGATTGAACTTGAAACTATGCTGGGTAAAGCTAAAGACATAGGAATCCTAAAGGAGTCCGAATATAGATTTCTTGCTATTCCCTTTCCAAGAACCCCTACCTTTTATTTCTTACCGAAAATTCATAAGAACTTGACAGCACCCCCCGGTCGACCAATAATATCGGGGATAAATTCCATCACATCAAATTTGTCACAATATATCGATGCATTTTTACAACCATATGTGTCCAGGGTTAAGTCCCATCTTAAGGATACGACACAGATGATTAAAGAACTGGACTCCCTTTCCTGGCAAGACAATTATATTCTAGTATCTACAGATGTGACCTCCCTATATACGATTATTGATCACCAACAAGGCTGTGATTCCGTGAGAAACTCATTAAATAAATATGGGGAACTGGAAGATATACAAACTGCATTTATAATAGAAGGAATTGCTTTTATTCTAAAGAACAATTATTTTCTATTTGAAGATCAGTTTTATCTCCAGAAGAAGGGAACAGCCATGGGGACGAAATTTGCCCCTAGTTTTGCCAACTTGTTCATGGGGGATTGGGAGGATAATCACATTTGGAATGAACATCCTTGGAATAAGAACATCCACAGATATAAAAGATACATCGATGATGTTTTCTTTATATGGGAAGGTGAGATGAATGATTTACAGAAGTTTCTGGAATATGCAAATAAGAACACCTGGGGAGTGCAATTGAATACTACTTGTAGTAAAACACAGGTAGAATTTCTTGACCTCACCATCTATATAGAGTCTGGGAAAGTAAAAACGAAAACGCACTTCAAAGAAGTTGATGTGAACAGTTTTATTCTTAAAGAGAGCTGTCATTTACCCACGTGGTTAAAGAATGTACCCTATAATGAATTTAGACGTCTGAAACGCAATTGCACAGACTCTGAAGTTTATAGGGAACAAGCGGAAACAGTAAAAAACAAATTCCTGTCGAAAAATTACCAACAGAAAGAAATAGAGGAGGCACTATGTAGAGTAGAGAAGCTAGATCGCATCAATCTCATGAAAAATAGAGATAAATCACAAATAAAAAAGAATAGGAGAAGATTTTCCAGCAATTATCTTGAATTACAACAAAGAAAATAAACAACTAAAAAGAATACTTACTAAACATTGGCATTTATTGAAAAAAGATAAAATACTGGCCGACATTTTACCAGCAAGACCCAGAATAATTTTTAGGGGCGCACCGAACCTAAGAAGAAAAATAACAAATAAACATCTAAAAGGAAGGAATGTCCCAATTATAACAAAGAAGAATGGTTTCTTTTATTGCCTAGACTGTATTGCATGCAAAGAAAGTAAATGCAAACAAACAAAAGGAGTATTTGAAGTTATTAACAACAACTGCAAGAAAGGGAGAGAATCCTTTAAAATAAAGGAAAATATCACCTGCCACAGTAGTAACGTAATATATGTACTGGAGTGCCCATGTGGGCTCCAGTACGTAGGAAGAACAAAGAGGCAGTTGTATGTGAGAATAAGAGAACACATGTTGAATATAAAAAAGGGTTATATGCAACACTCAGTCTCAGCCCATTTTAAGCAGTATCACAATTCGGATATGAGTCTTTTGAATTTTAAGGGGATATGCAAAGTAAATAAAAATTGGAGAGGCGGAGACCATAATAAACAATTGGGCATTACTGAGATGAAATGGATTTACAATTTAGATACGTTGCAGCCTAAGGGATTAAATGCTGAGTTTGAGCTCTGTCATTTCTTGGGATAAATTGCCTCTTCTCTCACTCCTCCCCCCCTTTTTTTTTTTTTTTTTGGGTCCTTTAAGAATAATAGTCTTAGCTCTTTATAGAGTAAATATAATTTTTACGATATATAATCTATAGAGGCAGTACAAGTATTAAGGTTTAAAACATCAAGACTGCCTCAAGAACAAATTTTCAAGGTCAAAATATTGATCCTAGTTTCAATATAGTAATTATCTATATGAGAATTAATAGATACAATTTATCCTATTTTATATAATAAATTTTGCTTAAGTAAAATTTTTTTAAAATTTTTTTTTAAATTTTTTTAATTAATTTTACTATCCTCTTGTGCTTAGTCGTGCTAAATGCAAACGGCAGTTATATTTGAACTTGCTTAGGCGAGGGTTGCTATTAAAAGAATTATAATATACTATTCTCTTGTACTTAGTTGTGCCAAATGAAAACGGCAGTTATATTTGAACCTGCTTAGGCGGGTGTTACTATAGTAACAAGAATTACAATATACTATGTTTTTCATTTGTGCTCTTATGTAGCTAATTAGGCTTACATTGTTAGCACATTTCTGTAAGCATCTATTTTTTTGCCGGGAAACACAAGCCGGCTACTGCTATATAAACGGATACAACGAAGCAGACCGCATCCATTGAGAAAGCCGCCGAAGCGGAGAAACGCGTTTGGAGGGGTCTGACTCCCATCGATACAAGCCAGCACTTATACATCAAAGAGGACTTTTAAAATGATATTTTTCAGCATGCTTTTTGGTTGACTCGGGACGCCGAGATTATCAAATAAGGTCTGGACTTTCTTTCCTTTTGTGCATGGTTTTTTTCTTAAAATAACTATTTTTAAAAGATGGTATTTTTATTTGTTTATTAATAAATTGTGTTTTACAATTATTATTGAGTACGTAAGTGAGAGTCTGATAGTGTTAGACAGGCTATTCTAAAGGAAAGGAGCCACCCAAGAAATGTCCTGCAAGCGTGAGTTGGCTGTACGGGTGCGAGTAGCGGACAGGAGAAGGTCATGGGCAAAGCGGAGAGACAGAGAAGGGGCATACCTATAGATCAGTGAATAGATATAAGAGGGACTAGAATTATTCAGTGCTTTATAGGTATGGATTGGTACTTTAATTTGACTCCTATATGATACAAGAAGCCAATGTAAGGACTGAGTTGTGAGAGAAGCGACAGGAGAGTAAAATCAGTCTGGCTGTAGCATTCATTACAGACTGTAGCGGAGCAGTACAACTTATGTGAAGATCATTTAGGAGAGGGTTACAATAATCTATGGGAGAGATTACTAGAGCATGAACAAGCTTCTTAGTAGCATCTTGCGTTCAATGTTTTTAAAGTGGAATTGACAGGATTTGGTATCAGTCTGGATGTGAGGCTCAAAGGTTAGGCCAGAATTAAATATAACACCAAGATAGCAGGCTTGCAAGGATGAGCTGATGTGGTTGCCACTAACTTAAAGGAAGAGTGAAACAAAAGGGATTAGGATAAGGAGAAGGAATGACAAGAAACTCAGTTTTAGAGAGATTGATTTTCAGAAAGCGGGAGGACATCCAATCAGAAATAGAAGAAAGGCAAGCAGTAACACGTTGCAGGATGGCAAAGGAGAGGTTCATTGAGGAGAAATATATTTGAGTGTCATCGGTGTGCAGATGGTTGCCAAGAGAGGCAGTATAAAGAGAAAAAAGAAGGGGACCTCCTTAGGGGACTCCAACCCAAACACGACGAAAGGAATCATTTGGTATCATTAGAAAAGGAGACACTAAATGACCGTTGGGAGAGATAAGAGGAAAACCATGAGAGGACAGTGTTACAGAGACCAGATGAGTGAAGAGTTTGGAGGAGGAGAACATGGTCAACAGTATCAAAGGCAGCATAGAGGTTCAAGAAGAATTAATATGGAGTAGTGGCCTTTGGATTTAGCTGTGATTAGGTCATTAGTAATTTAATAAAAGCAGTCTCAGTAGAGTGGAAGGGGCAGAAGCCAGACTGAAGAGGGTCAAGGAAAGAGTTGGAATTGAGGACGTAAGCCACACGAGTAAAGACAAGTCTTTCCAAAATCTTTGAGGAAAAAGGGAGCAGGGATGTGGGACGATAGTTAGAAAGGGAGGATGGGTCAAGAGATATTTTTTTTAAGGTTGCAGCATGTTTAAGGGGAACCAGGGACAATGCCAGAAGAGAGAGAGAGCAGTTGAAGATGAGTGTTAAGGAAGGCACAAGACAAAGGGAGAGAGATCAGATAAGGTGAGATGTGACAGGATCAAGTGGGCAAGTGGTGGGACAAGAGGAAAGGAGAAGCACGGCCACTTCTTGTTCAGTAGCCTGGGAGAAAGTCTTAAGGGTAGGATCTAGGTGTATTTGAGAAAAAGAGGGGCATGGTGGGGAGCATTATTTCATTAGCTGTTCAATTTTGTTGGTAAAGTAGCATGCAAAGCTATAGGCTATAAGGATAGTTTGAGGGGTGGCCACAGCAGGGCGAAGAAGAAAGTTAAAGGTATCAAGGAGACGCCTGCAATTGTGGGAGTATGAACTATGAGGGAGGAAAAGTATGACTGTTTGGCAAGGACAAGGGCTGTGCTGTATAAAGGCAAGATCAATTTATAATGGAGAAAGTCTGATAAATAGTAGACCTTCCGTCAACCCTATAGTTACAAACAAAACTACCTCTCTAATATAATATTCAATGTAATATCCTCACCATCCTG